AGATAAATGGGGAATAGTTGCCGACAGTCTCATGCTAGTTGGAAGATGTTGGGGTCTATCTCTGGAAGCGCAAGTTCGCACCACGGCTACCAAACCTTCCTAAATTTGGCGTAGGAGTCCGATAGTATGCTAGACAATTGTTCATTGATAAAGAAACCCTGCATACGTTGTTTGAATTCCCCGAAGGGTAAAACATTTTTTAGGGTATTGTTTTTTCCATGAATGGGCTATTGTTTGCTTTGCAGCTAAGAAGACAAAATCTACTTATTTATGTTGAGAACGGTGGAGTTGTGGAATCTTGAGACGCAGTAGGGCGTGCCAGGGGTCTCTGCGAACAGTAATGCCAAATAAGGAGGAGATAAGTTTACAGAACTTTGACCAGAATCTGATTGCTGAAGGACAGGACCACCATATATGCATAACAATACCTTCTGAAGTGCAACCTCGAAAGCAGTTTTTGGGATAGGATGGGAGGGCCCGAGCTTTTCTGGCAGGAACTAGGTACCATCTTAGGAGAACTTTATATGCTGATTCTTGGGACAGGATATTACGTGGAGATGGACAACCATATAGAGGCCCAGTCTTCTCCCATAAGTTGAGGGCGGGGAAGAGGGAGGGGCAGTCAATTGGGAATAGAGCATCAAAATAAGTTTCGGGGCGTAGGGATCTTTAATGCAAAGACGTTTGAAAATTGATAGCGGGGGAGGTGGAGTTCCATTTTTAAGGAGATTTAATGCAGTGTCTCAGCTGGAGATAACGAAAAAATTCCCTCGTGGGGGATTAGAATTAGTGACAAAGGAGTCCCAGGTGCGAATCCTGTCACCCTTCAAGGAAATGGTACATCAGGGAGTACCCCTGCATAGGCTACCAGGCAAAGGCTGAGGGGGTTTCTACTGCCGGTGGGAACATTGGATTCCCCATTACTATGGTTAGGGGAAGGTGGGGAGAAAGCAGGTGGCTAGAGTATTTAACCGAATCCCAGACTCGTGGAGAAGGGGGCTAAGTGTGCAGGCCTGGTAGAGGGCGGCAGCCATGGAATGGCAGAGAGCGGTTGGATGGGCATTGGGCAGTTCTAGGAGAACCCACAATGGGACGTCTGTGGTGGCATGAAGTGCCACCAGTGGCGCTATTTGGGCTGCTCTATAATATGCGTCAAGATTAGGGATTCCCAGACCCCCTTTAGATCAGGGAAGATATAAAGTCCGTCTAGCTACCCTGGGGCGCTTATATTGCCAAATAAAGGACATGACTGAGTTTTGAAGGGATCTCAAGGCGAACATGGGAATTGGGATTGGCAGGGTCCTCAAATAGTATAAAAGTTTAGGAAGGAAAGTCATTTTCACTGCTGAAATACGGCCAAGCCACGAAATGGATAGATCTTTCCAAGATAGTAGGTTTTTGAGGGTGCGGAAGAGAGGGACATAATTGGAGGTATAGAGAGAGTCAAAGGAGTCTGTCAAGCATATCCCCAGGTATGGAAGAAATGTAGTAGCCCACGTAAAAAGGGAAAGTTCTGTTGGAGCAATGACATGGTAGAGAGGGAGAGAGATATATTCAGGGATAGAGATTTGTCTGGAATAACCACCAACCCTGAGATGGCTCCAAATTCCTTAAAAATGGAGAAAAGAGAGGGTAAAGTAATAAGGGGTTGAGTAAGAGTAAGGAGTATATCATCTGCAAAGAGACTTCGTTTGAAGGGGTGGTAGCGATTTCTATACCTTTGATGGAGGGGTGGCTTCTAATGAGCATGGCTAAGGGCAGGAGCGTCCCGAGGCTGGGTGACACCCGGAGCGGTAACCGAGTGTCACCCCGCTGAGGCGTCACTGCGCATGCACGTGACGTCATCACGCACGACGTCATCGCGCACTCGCGGCAGTATTCTGATACCTGCCGGCGGCCATCTTGGTGATGGACGCCGGCAGAGAGAGGAGGGGACAGTCACCCGGCGGGATAAGGCATGCCGCCGGGTCCCCTCCTCTCTCCTGATACTGTCGGGCGTTCGGTCCACGCCCCAGCGCCCGCCTAACTTTTCAGAGGGGGGTGACACCAAAATGGCTGAGTCATTTTGATGTCCCCCCTCCAATGGTGTCACCCGGGTGCACCCCCCTTGTGACGCCACTGGCTAAGGGTTCTATTGCCAAGATAAAGAGGATAGGGGACAGGGGACATCCCTGGCGAGTACCTCTAGTGACCTGAAAAAAGGGGGGGGGAGGAAAAACCTGAATAGACTACGCGAGCGGAAGGTCGGCTATATAGGGCTGCAACCCAGGAACGAAAAGTCGGACCAAAGTGCCATCTAGACAATATGTATTGAAGATAGTCCCAGGAGACTGTATCAAATGCCTTTTGAATGTCGAGGGAAAGGAGGAAACCAGGCACCGATCGACGGCGAAGCAAGTCTATTAAAATGTACCACCTTGCGGACATTGTCCCCCGCTTGACGGAGTGGAGTGAAGCCCACCTGGTCCCTGTGAATTAGAGTGCATAGGAATTCATTTGTCATGGAGGCCAGTATTTTAGTCAGGAGTTTCACATCCGTATTTAGTAATCAGATTGGGCGAAAGTTTGCTACATCTGATGCGTCCTTCCAGGTTTGGGGATCATAGATATGTTAAAGAGGAGGGATGGAGAGCATGTTGAGATTTCAGGGCGTTAACTAGGCGAGTCAAGAATGGGGCTAGAATATCCTTACATTTCTTATAATAGAGCTTAGAAAAACCATCAGGGCCAGGGGATTTATTCGATTTCAGGTAGGAAATGGCAGCGAGAACCTCGGTTTCCGTGATGTCAGAGTCTAATTGCTCGCGAAACGAGTCAGAAAGACTGGGAAGCTGGAGATCCTGAACAGGGCATCCGCTTTAGCGGTGTCAAAGACAGAATTGTTGTAGAGGGCACGGAATGAATTTAAAATCATTTTTAAAAGAGAACTATGGGGTTAGGGCTTTTCCCCATAGTTCTCCTAAGTGTCACGGGAGAACACAAACTAGCGTTCTCCCGTGACCCAAAGCTCAGTATGTTTTACCTGATGAAGGGGATCCTTTGTGACCCCGAAACGTTCGTTGTTTCTTACCACGATGCACGTCAATAGACGTATTTTGCAAATTTGGAGTGCCGGTGTCTCTGCTTTAGCTCACAATTGTTTCGGCTGCCACCCGTTGACTACCGCAGCACCCAATTCTTGAAGGGATTCACACGGTCAGGAGTGCGATGGGACCATGGACTAACCAAAGCTCAGTATACCGCGAGCTACAGCTCGTGGTATACTG